GGCATTATGCAAATCTTCCCACATCGTGACATAGACATGTGGGGGCGTGTTAGAACGAGCCGTTTTAGGTAGGCGTGGCTGACTCTGAACGTTTATAAAGAATATCTCTTTGGATTTGAGACTTTAGTGTTTGCAACTTTACAGATCTTCTTTATGCACCAAGAGCTTGTAACACTCCAAAGAGAAAAGAAAAATTGAAGTCAATTCACAGATTTTTTTTTTTTTTTTGTAAAATATATTTTACATATCACATCCAAATACAGATATTCCTCTGGCAATGCTTATATTAACTGTATTCAACAAACACCCTGTGTAACATTTTTTATGTTTATTATTAACAATGGCATTAATGAACACATTTTTATTTTATTAACAAGTAATAAAAGTGATTAGAGATGTATGGTCTGTTTATGTAGATTTATATGAAACACACTAACATCCCCATTCAGATATCCAGTCAGCAGCGTGTCTGGTCCTGCCCAGCGGGCTAGTCGACACAACTTTAGCCATGCTTCCTCTGAGATCCCAAACAGCAAGATGACCAGACTGGAAAACACCAACAAGCCCAGAGCCCAAGACATCTCCATCTTTTAACCTAGATAAAGAGACAAATATGTACTGATTTGATTTTACTGCTAACATTTAGGGCAGGGCGATATGGGCAAAAATGCATATCTCGGTATTTTTTGACTGATTTGCGATATACGGTGTATATATCTCGGTATTTTCGTTTTTGTATTTGTATTTAAAAAATCTGTATTTAATATGTATATTTCAATTACCGCCCAATGTTGTCCAACAAAACAATACATATTAAAGGCTATGAAAACAAATAAAGTGAATGTAGCATGCAAGCCTTTATATTATTGTGCAAAAAAGGGTTACATCACATTTCATTCTAACATTGCAATCTAAAAACAAAAATAAGGCTTTTAAAGCGGAAGTTAAATTCACTAAACTAAAAATGAAAATAAATGAGTAAATAAATGTTAGACTATTTTGATTACACAATTACAGTCACTTTACAGTCAGTGCCATCATAAAAAATAGACTTATTTGTAGGTTTAAAATTCTACATGTCACATTTATTGTCCAACTACAAATATTTCAGCGAAATGTATATTTTAGTCAGAATTATTGCGCTCCTTTTTAATTGAGCGCCGTCTGTTTGGCGCGCATGCGCACGACGGCGCTCGTTCACTGAAGTCTGTGTGAAGTTTAGCGGAGAATCCCAAAGCAGAAGGCTCATGCACTTCTGACAGCAAAATGGAAACATTTCCATGACTTTCTAATATTTACAAACGGAGAATATACCTGTGAAATGTAGGCTAAGTTATGCATTCAGAAAGACAGCACATCTCAAACACATTAAACAGCTAGTGTCTCTGTCAGCGGCACAAGCAGCCTTTCTGTCAGAGAATATGATCGGCTGAGCCGCTTAAACTAATATGCGAAACGAAACTATAAACTATGTCTTACCAGTTTTTAAAGACCTTAATATGAAGCTTGTCACATGTTTAGAACAAACTGGATTATGCACTTTCTCCACAGCAGCTCAGTCTGTGTCCTCCGCTATATTTTCAGATGCACTCTATCAAACTACTGTATATCGATATAAACGGTATTGCCTCATATCGAATCGCTTATAAATAAAATATCGATATATCGTACTAACTCGATATACCGCCCAGCCCTACTAACATTGTGTTCTTACATAAGAACATTTATTGCTTCTAGTCTTATTGCTGTTTGTCTTGATCAGGATAGTTGATTGAGGTGATGTGTTTGCCAGTGAGAGGATTTGTGGCAATCAGAGTAAAAACAGATGCATTACTCTCTTTATCACACACATTTCCAGCATTCTGAAGTAACACACACAGCACACCATGCAGGAAAGAAAGCGTTTATCACTGTATTCACTGGCACATACTCATTCTTTTAACACACACTCACTGACACAAGAGCAATACACTCGCTTACTCTGTAAGAATATCCCTTCATGCAGTTTGTCATGGTAAAAGTCTTTTCCAGGTATATAGTCTGAAGCAGCTGGCCTGTTTTCATGTTCCTGAAATTCACAAGCATGACCAAAGCAATAATGAATTATAAAATTAAAATACTAAGAAAACAAGATATATGTATAACTACAAATAATGTACTGAAAACACACTGACTCTAAATTCTGCTTAGTCTTTAGTACCACATCAGAAAATAATTTTTATCAAATTTAAAAGAATATTTCAGCCATGAAAATTTGCTGACAGTTTACTCACTCTCAGCCTCAGGCCATCAAAGGAACTGTCTGGGTAAATAAATGTTTTGGTCCTTTTTCAATGTAAAGGATAAATTTGCCTAATCATACACCCAACTGCCTTAGCTATTCTTTAAATATTAATGGTGAAACAAATGTGTGGTAAATACTGTAAAAATAATTTTTGTTATTGTTAACTACAACTAAAACAACTGAAAATCGTGTTCATATTCGAAAAAAAATATATGAAAAACTTACAAAGAAAATGCCTCAGCAATAGTCTGAAATAAAATATGTTAAGTTGAAGTACTAAATTTACTAAAACATAAATTAAAATTAACACTTAATAGAAATACATATAAGAAATATATACAGTGGGTACGGAAAGTATTCAGACCCCCTTAAATTTTTCACTCTTTGTTATATTGCAGCCATTTGCTAAAATCATTTAAGTTATTTTTTTCCCCTCATTAATGTACACACAGCACCCCATATTGACAGAAAAACACAGAATTGTTGACATTTTTGCAGATTTATTAAAAAAGAAAAACTGAAATATCACATGGTCCTAAGTATTCAGACCCTTTGCTCAGTATTTAGTAGAAGCTCCCTTTTGATCTAATACAGCCATGAGTCTTTTTGGGAAAGAGGCAACAAGTTTTTCACACCTGGATTTGGGGATCCTCTGCCATTCCTCCTTGCAGATCCTCTCCAGGTCTGTCAGGTTGGATGGTAAACGTTAGTGGACAGCCATTTTTAGGTCTCTCCAGAGAGGCTCAATTGGGTTTAAGTCAGGGCTCTGGCTGGGCCACTCAAGAACAGTCACAGAGTTGTTGTGAA